AGCTTCATTTAGGCTTTTTGAACACTTTTGAGTCTTTTCTCTAACACACATGCTATTACAGCAGATTAAATTCAGGATTTTACAGCATTGGATGGAAATGTATCCTGTATCTTCTTGTTTGTATTTTCGTAAGAGTGAAGCAGTGTGTGTCTGAGGACAGCGGCACGCTATTTTTGTGATCTGCTCTAGTGTCTTGGCTGTCTGAGGGATGTTCTGCAGTATTGGGTTACTGTGAATCCTCCTGCTCCTTCAGAGACAATCCTGCTCATGATACTCACACACGCACACACACTTAAAAATCAAGGCCCCTACAAATATGATTTTATCTCCAGAGCAACATGCTGTTGTGCCCTCGGAGTTTTGAGTGTCTTAAAATACCCGGCGATACCCCCCTCACCGGCTTCTTATTGGCTTACAGATGACGACCATGTGTTCCTGGTCAGTTATGCGCGTTAGGATGCCTGCAGTGGTTGTCACTCGTCTTTTCTTTTAAGGCGAGCCTGCTGTCCCTCTTTTTTCCCCCCTGTACAATGAAGACGTCAAGAACAGCTGTGGCTCCAGAAATAGTCTTAATCCTCTCCTCCATCACATCTCCTAAACATTACAAGCAGCTCAGGCAGTGACCGTCTAACTTCTGAGGATGTCTACAAGTGTCGTGTGGCTGGTGCTTGAAGGGTTGGTTTACCCGTCCACTGACATCTAAACCTGCAGATAGTTTGCATTTTGTTTGCCTGGAGTTTGGATCTATTTGCAAACTAAAGAAAAACTCCAGCTGATACTATGGAAATGTCAGTAGTTTTACATGTCATCAACTTCCAAGTACCTAATGGTTGGGCAGATGAAAATTCAGAGGCTCAACAAAGTTATTGAAGTTGTTGATAAGATGAGTGATTAGTAAGCAGGGATGTCACATTGGAAGAAAAGCCAGAATAACTGAATATATGGGCTGACAGACTGATACTGCCATCCACAGACGTGCCGAAGCAACTGTTTTCTAGCTATGTACCATTATCTGTGGTGATAATAAAGGGAGAAGGTACATTTCCAGAAGTGAAGCTTATGCAGCATCTTAATTGACAGATTGTGTCTTAGGTATGGCTTTTAAATGGACAAAATAACCCTAAAATTTGGGGTTGTTTACAGTTCAGACAACTATCTGTATTCTCAGACAGTAAAGGCTTAAAGGTCTGGGCCTTGGTGAGTAGCATGTCAAGTATGGAGACATGGCATCGTGCTCTGCTTTTTCCACTTGACGTGTTCTGTTGGCTTTATCAGGCCCCAACCTTTAGCACCCACTGCGACATCTTGCAGCCAAGTGTTAAAGTCAGCATCTCCAAGTCTGAAACCTTGGTTCTCTCCTGAAACTGTAGATTGCTCCCTCTGGGGCTGGGTTGCTGTTAAGGTGTTTTAATATCTTGAGGTCTTGCTTGTAAGTGATGGCAATGTAGAGTGTCCGATGGGAAGGCTGACTCATTTGGAGTTAGATGAAATGCAGGAGTTTGACAGGCTTATTATGGTGAAAAGCTTGACCTGTAAAGCAATTAACGTTTGCTTTAAAGGCAGATCTGTGCTCCAACTCTCACCCATGGTTATAAGCTCTAGTTAGTGACAAAGGAAAAAGAACGAGACAGCTACAAGAGCTCAGCCCTGGAACTTGGCTTGCTTTGACATCTGCTCCTTTGTGTCAAAAGGACATCCAAATGGCGTCAGATGTGGTGGTTTGGTGCCTTCCTTTGGAGGTTTTACAGACATGTCCGGCTGGGAGGAGACCCCGGGGTAGACCCTGAGCTGGGGGTATCACATGTCTCATCTATCCTGGGAATGGCTCAAGGTTGCCCAGGAGGGACCAAAAATGCTCCAGGGGAGAGGGATGTCTAGGATACCCTTGCTTAAGATGTGATATCCAACTTTGGACAAACAGAAGAAGACGTGGGTGGATGTTATAAAGCATGCTACATGATACACTTCTGGTAGGGATAATCTTTTAGAAGCAAAGGAGAAAGTAGTTGTCTTTTTATAGAGAGGTTGCTGAAGTGGAAGGATAGTCATGAACTCCTCAATGTTCTTTATATGATATGCTGGACGTTGTAAAGGTCATTATCTTATTATCATGCTAATATTAGCATGTCCTGTTAACATCACACCAAAAGTACACGTCTGTTCAGGTTATTTTAGAGGTGTGGCGCTGGTATTATATGCTTGTTATAACACTTATAACAATGTTATAACACTGACTTTTAGTTAGTTAACATAACATTGATTTAGCATTGTAGTAATCTGTTCCAAAATCTATGCAAATTCATTTTTTATTGCATGCTGCAGTGAAGTAAAAATCTGACCTGCGCGTGGCGCTGAAAGCACAGGCACAAGACAACAAATGTCATGGCAATCCACAGTTGTTGAAATGTTTCCCTTCGCAGTGCTGGACCTGTATCCCTTGAGCTGTGCTGCTAGAAATAGCGGCGTGGTTCCTTTAAGGCATTAACACGTCCTGGGTTACAAAGTGCCGTTCCATGAAATTTCCTGGAATTAACATGATGTCTTAAGATAGAATTCACACGGTCCAAACATGAAATATGAGATAGGTGAATGTGGGTGCAGGACAGCGTCAGAGAACGGAGATATGATGTGGTTTAATACTGAAATAAAAATGTGGGTTATTGCTTTTCCTTGTTCATCCTCAATTCTTTATAAAGCGAACAGTGGACAGCTGCGGGCAGCCTGACTAAAGGAAGCGTTCCTCCACCCGTCAGCAGAAAAGCTGCATGAATTTTTCTGAGGCCACATTTGAAAGTGCTCCAAAGATTCATTCTTTGTCCGTTTGATAAAACGAGCACGCTGAAACTCTGCCTTGTTAGTGCTCCATGGAAAGATAACACAACCGTGCTATTCTTAGATCTTTGCCACTGTTGCCAATGCTGTTAATATACCAAAGAAAATGGGC